CCTCTACCAATGGGCAAAATATGAGCCCAAAATCTTGAAATAACTTGGATGACCCTCATTAGATGTTCCTAGAAACAGCTCCAGATCTCCCTCATTTAAGGTGAAAGTCAGCAATTTTTTTCGGTCAAAGCTGTTTTCTGACCACGCTCCAGCTAACTAGAATGAAAAAAGTCGATAAAAAAACTTTTTCTAAAAAAGTGGTTGGATACCCCACCCAATACTCTTCGGTTCAAACGTTCAGAACTCGAAGGTATTACTTTTCTGTTCTGATCAATATGATCTGAACTCGAAAAGTAACTTACTGAGAATGGCATGATGCAGGTAATCAATCTTTGGAATCAAACAAACGCTCAATTCTCCCTTGCGTGTCATTAGTACTTTTATAGCCAGTCCCTTTCTGGAAGATTAGGTGTGTTGTAGATACGACCGCCTCCTCTTGAATGTTTTGAAGAAAATCGAACTGGAAAGTAGGCTATTTTTCGTTTTCTATCAACTTTCGAGCTCAACCGTGGATCAACCAAGAGACTTGTATGGACCAATTTCATAATTCATATTAGAGGTATACTTGTACAATGGATAGAAGTAACATTCAATGCAATAACAAAGCTTTTAGGTTAAAAAGAATTATGCAAAGCCGTTTGTCTGAACAACACTCTCCCATCTTGTGCACATATGTTCGCACATATGTAAAACTTATTTTTGCATATCCTCTTGGTTATAGGTAGTATTCAATCTCAACTACTTTTGTGCTGCCGATATGAGCTCCGAATCAACCTCCCAGATCAAGATACATCACAAATTTGGCTTTTATACAAATATCGTTTTAGGCTATTTTTAGGGCTTTTACAAAAAGCTCTATAACTTTTAACGAAGAAAGTCCGAATGAAAAAAAATTTGGGAATCTTCCTGTATATGTTGCCTCTACCTACAGTAAAATCCTGAGCCAAAAGCTCAAACATCGATTGAGCAACTTTCGTTGTTTCGCTCCTGCAGTGACTCTTAAACTCTGCAGTCATTTTGTTTATCAATTTTCTTTGGTCGTATCATAGTCGATGATGAGTTCGATATCGTCGCACAGCTGTTCTTCTTATTGGTCTCATTGATATGTGGACTGAAGCTGACAAATACTTCGAGTTGTTGCATGTCTTTGTGCAATGCCATGGTGACATTATGTTGAATCGAATCTGTTTAAAGAAAATTCAGATACTTGCGTGGACACTGTTCTGTACTTTTGATTTTCGAGCTTTGTATCTCTGACATTTTGGAAGATAGACCTTGTTTTTCTTCACAAATAAGGTGGCTCAAACATTTTTCTTTCATTGGCATTTTCAGATTTGTAAACTCTTGCTCCAGACTAGCATTCTATTATGGGAAGGGGGGGGGGGGGAACGTTACCGGCCCCCTTTGAAAATAAGGGTATTTAAAACATGGTACCGCCCTTAAAA